CTTCCAACCCAAATCATTCTCTGATTCTATGATAATATGAATAACAAACTGCATAGTAACTGTATTGACTCCTTAGTGAAATCTTGAAAAAATTACTGGCTTAGATCTGCTGTGTTACGGAAGGCTGGCATCAGCCTCTATTTCTGCTAGCCCAAACCATGATCCTCTGGAGGATTACGGGGCTTTGTAAATGAATGAAAAATATTAAAAGAATGTATAAGAAAAATAGACTAGCTGGCAGTTTTTCTTTTATGTGTTGGGTGACTTAACCTTTGCAATAGCTGCTCTCTGAGAACAGATCTGTGTTTCTGCCTGAATCAGAACCATGCTCGATTCTTTATTTTCTCTGAAAACAATTCTAATTAAAATCTTTATCTAAGATTAAATTTGGCACTGAAGCACTGAAGAAGGCAAGACGTACTCCTCGCTGCTGTGGGAATGGTATAGATAAGGGTATTGCATTGAAAGATACCTTGCTGAAAGAACACAGAGGCTTAGGGAGCTATGCTTGATACCTTACGTGCAGAGTAAACTAAAATGTCTTGAGGGGTAGAGGTGGCAGGCAGGGTCAGTGAGGAACACTGCAAGATGAACTGAAACACGGCGAAAGAAGTGTCAGTCCTGCCAGCGGGTAGGATGAGCGTGATGGGTAATAATTTTTGAGAGACTTTGGTTTCCTAAAGACTTTTTTGTATAGGCACCTACATGCTCATAGGTTCACGGGCAGCCTTGGAGCATTAAAAAGAAGTCAGAAAGGTTTATTACAGGCTGTGAAAACAGTTGTTTCAAAACCGGCAACTGACCAGTAGTGTGAAGTACTGGAACTAAGACTGCAGAGGCTTGATGTCTTCTGGGTTCTGCTGGTCTTGTAGAGCGTCTGTAATTGAGTGCTCACATTTCAGTGTGTGTTTCAGTAAGGTTGCACGTTTAGTTTGAAGATATTTTGAAGCATTTAGCACAATGCAGCTTCTTGATTACTATTCTGTGGGAGGTTGTAAACATTCTCCATAATGTTTTCCTTCTTTTCTAGCAGGGAAATGAATATCCCTTATGAATAAGGTAACTAGGAACGGAAAGTGTTTTCTTCAGAATTTGCATGTTACGACTCAGTGTTCAGTAACAATGGACTTTAGAAGAGATCTTCTACAGATAACTTGAGTGGTTTTATGTGTCCTAATGTTATAATTCAGTTCTAGTTCCTTCTTCTAATTCTTTTTTTCCAAATTTCAGGAATTGTGAATGACAAAGATTCTAAAGATTCCATTACGGAAGGAGAGAACCTGGAAGAGGATGAAGAGGAGGAAGAAGGTGGAGCAGAGACAGAGGAACAGTCTGGAAATGAGAGTGAAGTAAATGAGCCAGAAGAAGAGGTGAACTTAATAATTTACCTTGCCTCTCACTTAAAGAACGAGTAGTCAATATTTTGATGATTCATTACTTTCTGAAGCCCTTCTTTGTCAGAGTTAGGGGGTGAAATGTGGGTATGCATAACCCAGTCGGTACTCTGAGGATGTTTCCATCCCAGTTTTGTATGTATGGAAACTGAATGCAGAGTGTCTGGGGTTTATTCCAGAGAAATTATGGCAGAAACTTGAACCTGACAACTTTTCTCAGGGCACGTGCTACTTGTCAACAAAAAGATACCTTCATTTTTTGGCATGAAAACATTCTCAGATAACTTTCTTTACTTGTAGAAGGAGAAGTATTGACCAGATGTCAAAGCAGTCATGTAGGAAAAATAACAGGTGTCCAGAGCATGCCTGTATAATATGAACATATAAAAGATGGAGCATAACAACCTTCCTTGTTTACTGTGCCAGTAATCTTTTGAATCAAAAACAGTGGAGCCAATAAAAAACTGCAGACGTACACAGAAATTCTAATTTGTCACTATGACACAGCAAAGTTGAGATAATGGTAGTGTTATGAGAAATGGAGTTCATCAGGGAAACAGGAAACACTTTTTCTCCTTAGGCTTTTATTGGTTGGTTTACTAGTGTGCTTTCTCTTAGTCTGTGCTGCTCAGCATTAAAGTTCCTGAAGTTTGGCTGGGTTTGTGCTTTTACCCACAAGTTAATGATATCAATAAAATCCTAAATGGTTGCAGGGTAGGGAAGGGGACCTCTGGAAATCATCTTGTCCAACTTCCTTTGCCCAAAGCAGGGTCACCTACAGCAGGTTGCCTGAGGCAGCGTCCAGTCTTGTGAGTATCTCCAAGGATGGAGACTGCACAGCCTTTCTGGGCCATTTGTTCTGGTTAAACACATCACAGTGAAGAAGGCTTTTTTCTTAGTTTTAAATGAAATTTTTCAGCTTGTGTCCATTGCCTCTGGGTCTGTCACTGGGCACCAGTGAGAAGAGTGACTTACTCCTCTCTACATCTTCAGATGAAAAGAGCGTAGGAAAGGTGCAGAAAATGTGTATGAGGAATCATGTGCAGGTGGCCTTTTTTGTTTTAAAATAGTCAGAAGTTATTCATTGAATATTTCAGGAGGGCTCTGACAATGAGGAAGAGGAAGGTGAAGAAGAGGAGGAAGAAAACACAGATTATCTTACAGACTCCAATAAGGAAAATGAAACCGATGAGGAGAATACAGTATGTATTGCAGCTTTAGATAAACGAATTGTCTTTGGCATTTTTGGTTTTCCTTGCTTGTTGCCAGGGCTGCTCATAACATATTGGAGAAAACACAGCAAGAACAATCCCTGCCTGCTATTCTTTCAAATACATTTTAGAGCTTATTTTTGTATTTGCAAACTTTCACCATTACCTTCTGGAATGCTGTCAACTTTACTACAGTATGTTTTCACAGGACTCTGTGCTTTCACAGGTAGCTAGTCTAGAAAAGGTTACGTAAATGATGGGTTTGCAGTGCCAGCAATGGTAGCAAACTGGTATGATCCAGCAAGGTAAACTAGGTACACACGGCTAGACCTCAAACCTGAAAAGGAGACAAACCAAGAAGTGCAAAACTTTCTAAAGTACGAGATTGGGATTGGCAGATTATAAAACAAAAGAACCCATCTGGTTGAGCCTGAACTGTAGTTACACAGTAAGAACATTAATGATCATTACAGAACGCTGTGGTGGGGTACGGACTTGAAACATTTTTGTTGTCAAGTTGTGCTTTCCAGATATCATTTTTTGTAAACTTTTTATGATGTATATGATACAGAAGCAATAAGGATATTTTTCAACTTATTTCTAGACTTCATATTTCTGAAACTAATGTAATAGAAGGTTTTTTCCCATTGCAATAGGAAGTAATGATTAAAGGAGGAGGGCTTAAGCATGTCCCTTGTGCAGAAGATGAGGACTTCATTCAGGCATTGGATAAAATGATGCTGGAAAATCTCCAGGTATAAACATTAGTTTTCTTCATGTAATTTGCCGTACACTTAACTGTATTTGATTATTCTATTTAAAAATAGTAAAATAGCTGTTAATTCTGTTGTTTGCCCAGTGAATGTATGGTGTGCTGACATATATTGTACTGGATGAATAACAACTGTGTCAGATACTATCCAAGCCTTAGGTTTTAATATGTTTAAAATGTAGTTGTTAAATTTACATAACCTTTAGGTCCTTTTCTTTTTTCAGCCAAATATTCTTCAGGTAAATACATAAGTGTTGAGCATACCAAGCCCTGTGTGAGGAATACATTAATAAGATGCTACAAAAAACTCATGAATGTAGAATGTGCATCTAATCAAGTCTCAAGATTTCTTTCCTTAAAGGTTGTTATCCAAAGTTCCTTTAAAATTTGAAGTATTCTGTCCCTGTAACTTTCTTATTCATAACACAGGAAACCAAAGGAAAATGTTATAGTCTAATATACTTATTTATATATTACTTTCTTTTCCTAGAAGGTTAAACCTTTCCTCAGTCATGAAAATAGAAATGTTGCCTGACTGACACTTTTAGCATCTGATCACTTAGAGAATTTACTACTTTGTTTTTGTTACAGCAACGGAGTGGTGAATCTGTTAAAGTTCATCAGTTGGATGTTGCTATTCCTCTGCATCTCAAAAGTCAGCTCAAAAAGGGTCCCCCGCTTGGAGGTGGGGAAGGAGACTCAGAGTCTGGAGACACAATGCCATTTGTCATGTTAACACGAAAAGGCAACAAACAGCAGGTAAGAGTTCACATAAGGTATAGGTACTGTTTAAATAAAATCCTTTCACTTATTCTGAGAGTCACAGTTTTGACTTTTGATGTCAGAGGATTTTTAACGTCATCCTTTTCTCAGAATGAGATACAGACAACTTAATCTTGATAAATAGAAAACACCATGTGTAGTTTCTTGGAATTCTTGTTGCTTAATAGAAATCACGTATCTGAATTCTGTGGTTGAATTAGCTGGTTACTAATTACATTTGGAGATCACAACAGTAGGACAGCATTATGTCTTACATGTATTTGAAATACAGCTGTGGAAGATGAGCAGATGAGGTTGCTGGACTGCCACTGAATGTTGAAAGGAGTGGGGGGAGTAAAAAAGGAATATTCCAGAATATTCAGATTTCTTCTGATTTCTGTAAACACTCTCAAATCAAGATACATGGTGTTTGCTAAATTCCATTTCCTAAGTAACTGCCATGTGGCTGAATTTGTTCAACTTGCAAAAAAAATTCAGTTATTTCTGGAGACATTTTCGGGGACTATTCCAGAATGCACTGAGTGAATCTCGGAGAAACCTAAATGGAAATCATGTTGATAAAACAAAGCCCTTGCTGCATGCTGCCAACCTGTATATTTGTCTGGCTCGTTTTTCCAGTATATGTTTGAATTTTCCTAGCTCAGCAAATGCATAGTGTACAAATCGATACTGAACACATTCCACATGCATTTCTCGTCATGGTTTAGGTCTTTTAAAGAAACCACTTAATGTCAGTTATATAAATTGATGATGAAAATGAATTACTGAGTTTATATGGAAAGCAAAATGGCAGTGTTTCATTCCATGCATCTGTAGCTTTCAAGGGTTTAGATCCATGTCATGGCTTTGTGTTTGATTTGTTACCTGAATTGTGACAGCAGTGTTAGAGTTGAGGTATACAAACCCAAAGTAGAGTTCTTCTCTTCCTTCATGTTAAAGACACTTCAAAAAGCCACATAGAAAGTGAGGTCTCTTAAAACCACTTGAACTAGCGAGTGTGTGCTGTGTGAAGTGCGTGGTTTGACAGTGTAAGCAGTGATATCTGTTTGAGTGGGCACATACATGCTGGCATTTAGTAGTGGTGATTAACTGGTTTCTGTACTACACTTGGTTATTCTGTCTTCCTGCAATTTGAATGTTGTATGCGAACTTCTGTAGAAGTTTTGAGTGGGGAATTTTAACTGTCATTGGGTTGAGAATGGATTTAAGAGAGCTCTATTTAAACTAAAAAAAGGTGTTTAGCTTTTTCAGGATAACTTACCGGGAGTATCTGTAGTTACCAAGAATTTTAGGATTCTCTATTATGTGTGAGGGGAAAATATTGCTGACATGTGGCTTATAAAGAAAGCAGAACTTGTTCAAGAGTTTTCCCTGCTCCTCCCCCAGTATTTGGTTTTGGGAGTAGGCTCTTCCTGCCAAAACTCCTCTCAGAGTTTCTAGAAATGTAGAAAACAGTTGCTTTATAGAAGACTAGGGTTCCTGAGTCAGTGAAAGGCTTCTTTGTCCATCGTTCTGTATTCAGAAAAAAAATGTCTTGGTATTGAGTTAATAGAAAAATAAGCAGGAAAGAAGAGGTGGAGTTGAAAAGAAAATTATTATTCCTTATTTCAGTACTTTCTTCTCAATCTCTGGGAGCAGAATATGCACAGTTTTGAAGCGATCGATGCATCCTTCCCTTTTTAAGTTATAGCTGGAAACTTTTACCTTTCTAAAAACAGTCAAAAGGAGATTCTCAATCTGTGGGAGCAGAATATGCACAGCTTTGAAGCAATCGATGCGTACTTCCCTTTTAAGTTATAGCTGGAAACTTTCACCTTTCTAAAAACAGTCAAAAGGAGTTTGCAGACAGCCTGGACAGCTGTAAGTGACTTCTCACCTGCACACTCACTGGAACGATAAGCATCACCCTCTCACTACGACTTCAGCCTAACCGCTTGCTATGTTAGCAATAGGTTTGGTCTCTGTGCTCTTTGTCAACAGTGCTGCTGAAATTAGTAACCTTCACTGTAAGAAAGTACTTACTGATGAAAATGGAACATGCTGTGCTTCCTTCTGGAGGTCAGTACTTGGTAGTTGAGGTCCAGTCACTAAACAGTTCACATGCCAGTGGAGCATTAACTAGTTTGTCAAAGCAACACCATATACAGCAGCAGCATATAACCTGATTTTAATAGTCATTGCAGGCTGATAGTAATAAGGACACCATATTTTATCCTTGTTTTGTCACACTGATGTACAAAACCAGGCAGTAGCAAGGATATTGAGTAGACCAGTGTCTTGCAATAGATGGCTGTGTCTTTTCACCCTTCAGCTGTAGCACAGAAGATGCATGATGAAACTTTTAAAACTAGCAGTAGGACAACATGGTCATTGAAAATTAGACTATGGCCTCATGATTTACCCACAAGCCATGAAAGAGCAAGGGGAAATAAGTAAATAAGTAGTACCATCTTAAGGAATCAGACCTGAGGTCTGTCTAATACCATTAGTTTCTGATACTGTCCAGGAAGTTTTATGCCAGGTAGGTGTGAATTAAGGTGAGATTTAGATGGTAAAAAGAAAGTCACCTAGTGTCAAGAAATTTCATTAATATATTTGCCTTAATTGAAAGATTTCTAGCAAGGTTACAGAACAGAACAGTAATACCTGGGGAATGCTCAAGCCTGTACTTGAATGTGAAGTTCTTCTATCTTGGTGACATATTTCTGAAATCTAATCTAGTCTTAAGAATGATCATTTTTGATCTTTCTTCAGTCTGCCATATTCTGAGAGGAGTCCTTAATGTTGTGTCCCCATCTCAGATTCCATAAGAGGTTTTTGATACACCTCTTCACTACTTGTAGGTCAGAA